TGCACCCTACTGTCTTCCTCATGCCAAAGAAAAGTTTCACACTTGATTCTTCTAAGAGTGGAGTTTAAGGTCTATGTGCAGCAAAGTGACATGATCAAATCTGTATTTTGGAAAACCAAAATATGGCAGTGAAGTGTGAGATAAAGTTGGGAGATCAGATAGGAGGCCAGTGTAATGAAGACCTGAACTGATGCAGTTCGGAAGTGATATATTTGAGGAGTATTGGGAAAGTACGGTTAGTAAAACTTCATATCCTACTTAATATAGAAGAGCAAAGGGTGAAAGACAGGCAGCCTGGATGACTGGATGGATGATGATGCTCCTAACCAAGGTAGAAAGAAAAGTAAAGTTTTCATGGGGGAGATAGAAGGACTGATTTTATCAATTTTTATCTAATAAGATAGCATTCCTGTGTTCTAGAAATTTTTAAGATAGCCAAAGAAGTGTTCTTTCACTTAGAGATTTGGCACAAGGATATACATTGGGGCTTTAGTGTTCTACTATGACTCTTAAAATGGAATCATTGCTGGTCAAGAGTGTCTTTCCCAAATCTGTTTTTCTGTAGAGAAACTAACAAGGTAGAAAAGTGATGAAAAAGATCTCTTAGTTTGGAGGACCCAAGGAGAGACTTCTGAAAGTTAGTGAAATAAGCCCAGCGGACAACCCTACTTTTAAATTAGGAAAGACCGGCTACCAAACTGTAATTTTAGTTTAACAATATTTTAGATATTTTAAAATGTATATTTAATCCACTAGTTGTAATGCCAAATATATAGTTCATCTATTTTGTATTTTTGCTTTCCAATGTTACTGTGGTCACTATTCTGTACATTACATTGCCAGAACTTAATTATCTTATAACTGGAAGTTTGTACTTTTTGATCACCTTTTCCCATTTCTCCAATCTGCTACCCTCCGCCTCGTAACCACCAGTCTGTTTTCTATTTCTATGAGTTTGGTTTTTTCAAATTCCACATATATGTGTGATCATACAATATTAGTCTTTCTCTGCTTGACTTATTTCACTTAAGCGTGATGCCCTCAAGGTCCAGCCATGTTGTCCCAAATGCCAAGATTTCCTTTTTAATGGATGAATAATATTCCATTGTATGTATGTATATGTGTATACACATTTGCTTCATCCATTCATTCATCAGTGTACACTTGGGTTGTTTCCATGTCTTGGTTATTGTAAATAATGCTGCAGTGAACTCAGGGGCACAGATATCTATTTGAGATAGAGATTTCTTTTCCTTTGGATATATGCCCAGAAGAAGAATTTCTAGATCATATGGCAGTTGTATATCTCTGTAATCAACAGATCATTTATAGTTGATCTTTGCTTAAAACTTGGATGTGACCGAAAGTGGTCACTCTTTGAATTCAGTCCAACTTTATGACACATCCTGGGGTGGAATGGGTGGAGTTTCTTTTGTTGTTGTTGTTGTTGTTAGCATAAGCCAAAAATTTAACTTCCTTTTTGAAGATTTGAAATGCTTCCAGCATTTATATTACAGTGAGATTGATGCTGTCTTACTCATCATTCTGTCTCAGGTGCTTTACACTCAACATAGTTGTTCAAGGACACATTCTACCTGTTTTTACTGCTCAAAACATGATGTTGCAAATAATCAGTAGTGGTAATTACTTCATCGATGAAATGATTTACAGTTGTCAGAGCTACAAAGAAAGAAATGAGCTGATGAGTACTAGTATTCTCTTCCATCCTGTTTCATATGTCAGTCAAGCCTTGGTTGTGCCCAGCCTGTTCCCACTAGGAGTTTAGATTGTGCAAAACGCTAGGTTCTTCAGGAAGACTCTGAAGTTTTCTCTCTCTGAAGACACCAGTGGACTTTTTCCTTATTCATTTTAAGAATGTAGATTATGATTTTGGACTATTTTATTTTATATTACAGCCCCATTATATAATCTTAATGTATCAGATTAATTTAGAGAACAAGTGTTCTCTACTGGGGTGATTTTTGACCCCCAGGGAATATTTGGCAATGTCCTGAGATGTTTTTGGTTGTCTCAACTTGGGGGAGAGAGAGCGCTGCTGGCATCTAGTGGATAGAGGGCAGGGATGCTGCTACAGTGCACAGGAGAGGGCCCCCCCTAACAAAGAATTATCTGGACCAAAATGTCTGTAGTGCTAACCTGTGAGTTAACTGATATAGAAATACAATTTCTGAAGTTTAGAGGAATTGAAATTTTCCGTTAGTACCATTATAGGGTCTTATTAAATTAGCGGCTATGAATATCCCCTAGATATAAGTCCTAGCTTGAGAGCTTTAAA